AAAAAGTGATAAAGATTCGCCCAGAACTGGTATCATTTATTCAAGGATAAACTCTACAAATAGATTTTTTTTTCTATTACGCACAAGCATATATGAAAACCATGTTTACTATAGAAGATTTTATGTAAGAAACAATAAAAAATATAAGATAAAGAACATCGATAGATATTAACTATTTGTTGAGATTCATCATGATATGTTACTTGAAAAGTAGTTTATTTCAAGTTGAAGGATAGAGTTCATGTGTGTTGGTTGATAGTAAGGATGTGGGTGTGAATCTGGATGCAGAGATGACCCAGATCCAGACCCACAACCACATGCCTACACCAACACCCTCTTATTTAATAAATAACCCATAATCTTTAATAATCCTTCCCAATCGATTCGATCAAGATCTAAAGCATTCATTCAATAAACTTCCTTTATAATTTTACAACCGTTGATGGGTTCAAAATAACTTTTAAAACTTTTAGAATGTTATTTCAAACTCATCAATTGTAAATAGACTAGTGATCTTATAAACAAATGATTACTTTCTGCATCTTGATCCCTAATAACTTTATCAACTTTAGTTGATAATGTATCAAAACCCATTATTTTGAGCATGTTCACTAAAATACTAAAGACTTTAAGTATCAAAATGTCATGTCAGGTCGAACTTTGTTTTTGCATTCTTAACATACGCAGACCTCAAGATTTGTCCATAGCGCATAACATTCTTGCTCAAGAAGCTCAAGTATTTCATGCGTATCCCAAAAGATATTTCACTCGAGATAGTATTTTATACATACTAGTCTGTTCAATAGTAATTTTTCCATCAATATTGCCACATAGCTTTATGAATTCAACACGTTCCAAACCTATTTTTTGTTGATTTGTCTGAAAATTAGCCACATCTGAATAAACGATCCTGTAGGATTATATCTGTAATCAGAGGGATCCAGAAATTTCAGCACAAGGACGTTAAGAACGAGAAAGTTCAACATTGAGAATAATTACATTATACAAAGCGTTTACTACGAAACTCAAAAAAGGTACTACAACAGTACGAAATTTCAAAAAGATTTTCCAGCGACTATACGAAAAGAATCGTCACTACCGAAAAAAAAGATCTCGAATTCACGTTCAAAACGTTCTAAGGATCAACTATATATGTACTAAACCCAAAAGTTCCGAGTTCGATCTTCAGTACAGTTATTTTCTGTTAATTTAATAAAAGATGGTAGAAATAAACCAAAAGTATTATACGATCGGCTCTAGTAGATCTACACACAATGAAATACATGATATAAACAAAAAAAGAGCTAAATGTATCTTGAAAGAAAGTGAACGATGTCAAAAAATACTCGAATTTGATGTTGACCGAACTGTAAGATGTTTGCATGATCACTCATAAGGCAAGAGATGCTTCCTAGTTCAAAAAAATCAGACGTAAGATCTTGCAAGATTAGATGAAATCGTACAAGAAATCGTAGTCTTGAAAATCTTAGATCAAATCGTATTATGAGATTCTTTAACGATCTTATAGCCAGATAATATTACCTATAGCCTTATAGTGATATTTTACAGGACAGCAAAATCTTTCAAAAACCTTACAGTACGATTTCATATTAGATTCTGAGACGACGAAATTTTGTACGATTTTCATCTAATCTTATAATGTCAGAGGTGTGATCTTGCAAAATTTTGCGCTCTAATTGTTTTATTTGTACTCTCTAAACTGATTGGATAGTTTCCGAACTATTGTTCCGGAACAAAAATCGTCGCATATGTATTATTCTGTCTTGACTACTAAAGCAAAGGTTCAATTTCTTGAATGTCTATTCTCAATGGAACATGCAAAACGTTCGCATGTAATGCCGAACCTTTGAAGTTTTATATTTACCTTGATACGAAACTGCCCAATATTTTTCTTATAGGCATCCCAGAAAAGTCTTGACAAGCTTTATATCAATTGTATAAGATGTGGCATTATGTGCGAATGTTTTTCAGACTCAATCGACTGTAATAACGTTTTGTTCGTGGACCCGAAATGTTTGGATTTCGGTAGTGGTAGTTTTTCTCGTCGAGTTGCTGGAAAACTTTTAAAGATTTTGTAGTGTTGCAGTACCTTTTTTAATTTTCTTAGTAAACGCATTTTTTAGAAAGTGGTTATTCTTGATGCTGAACTTTTCTATACTTAACTTCCTTATGCTGAAATCTCGTCGTACTGAAATTCTACTAACTTGTAATCAAATAATACGAAAATAAACGATATTAATATTGACGTTTCTATTTATACATCATGACGTGGCAATCACTTCTATATTTTTTCTCTCGTAATAAATCGTCTGCTGTTTCACTCGTTTAAATGAAATTCATTCGAGATACACATGTCGTGCTATTTGTTTTCTATGTAAATATGAAAGGCATGAAAAAATCAGCAGAATGAAAAATTTTTGAAAGAGTTTTTCATTTATAAATTATTGTTTTAAATGAACAAAATCAATATTATATTATTCATGATCGAAAAGCATCAACATCGAATATATTCAATGGAAATGCTTTTATTTTAAGGTTAAATTAAAAATTTCTATCGAATTTCCATTTTAGATCATTTGAAGTTGAAATTCTTACTATCTATTCGTCATCCACATATTGGATCCGAAGATAAATAAGAGGAAACTTTTATTTTATATAAATAAAAAAATAGATCTTCTAATTTATGTTCATGGAATTCAGTTTTTTTTTTTCACATAAGTTTTATTCTATTTATTTATGTAGGTTAAGTAAGAGTGTTTCTATTAAAAGCAAAAAAAACTTCAGAATCAACAAACATTTTGATTGAAGTAATTAGTACTATAGTTAATTAAATTGATGATTCAAATATTGACAAAGCACTTTGAAGTCGTTCAATGTTTTCAATAAAATATGTTCTTAATTGAGTTTGCTTCTATTTAGATATTGCTAATGAATATATATATGAAAAAGAAAACGTCACCAAAGTTCTGGTTTCTGTTCTACAAGAATCGATTTAAAATTAGTTTTTGGAAATTTTTGTGAGATGAAAACAGTTTTAGAAAATACTATCTTGTGATATGATCTTTTTCTAATAATTCTAGTTTTTAACTTCAAAGAACTTCAATTTTGTTGTTACTACTTATCTAAAAATAATGTGGGACGATTTTTTTTGGATAATTTTAATTTTCCGAGTTTTTCTTTGCAAAAAATACTCAGCTTCTCAGAAATGATTGTTATCAAAACTAGAATCTATTTTAGAAGATTATATTAAACGACAATGAAAACTACAGTTTATTAGATTGGACAAATGATGAATATGATCGTGTCTATTAACTTTCGATGTTGTATAGTACTGACATCTTCGTGTACCTTCAATTATCCTGATTTTTTGTGCAGAGGTATGGAATGATTTATTTGTTGGTAAAGGTAATCCTTTCTCCAAGGTTTTCAAGAACAATGAAATGTTTATTGACACTGTCAAACATGAATTTACTATTGAGTCGGTCAAAGATCAAACAAGCAGATAATGATGAGAATACTGTGAGTGACAAGTGGAAAAAGAATAAAACAAGGTTACAGTCTTAGAAATGTGCAGAAAAATTATTTTTTTAGATTTGATCATGCTCAGTATTTTGTCCAACGTAATAATCGAGAAGGTAAAGTTCTTCCAAAGGTCGATTTCATCCTCTTGGAAGTTCCGAATAGGCTCTTCAAATGAGAATATCTACATAAGACAGTGATGTGTATGTCGAAAAAGTTTTTTCAAGATGTATGAAAAAGAAACCTTTGTATAGATTTCATGAATCAAAATACGTTTTTCTTTTCTTTTTTTTGTAATTTTACGAATGAATAAGTTTGAAAATTTCTTGAGTTATTTTTGTCTATTTTCTGCATAAATCAAAATTCACAAAGCAGAAAACGTACTGTCGTAAGACTTTTGAAAAAATAAATATCTTCCTTAATTCGATATGGAATAAATTTACTCTTTTAACGTTTTTTCTTTTAAAATCATAAACTATTTAGAAACGGGATTGGATACCTTTTAAGCATGGTTGTGTAGAAAATAAAATGTCATCGAGTTTCATATCATACGTGGTTTGAAAATTACACAAATTAGTTTTTATCTGACGACTTATTCTCTATGTCTATTCAAATAATTAGTTGTTTTGCATTTGACTGTTACATATGAGTACATAAGATGAAAATTCTCAAGCAGACACATATTACTATAAATATAATTATATCGAAACAAAATTACACAATATTCTTGAAATTCTACCATATAATAATTTCTTCTATGATGATTTTTTTGTAGAACATGTTTGACTCATAAAAAGAAGAAGAAAGTGTACTTTTGAGTTTTGATTTCTACCAATAAAAATACTTTTTGAGTTAGAATATTCCAATAAAAATAAGAAAGCATAAATAGGTGACGCATGTTGTTTATCGTTATTTATTCTTGGTAGAATGAAAAGAATTACATTATAAGTAACATAGATTTAAAAACAGAAGTTTCTTCATGAGACCATTTCAAATACGCTACTATTCTACGTAAGAACTTGTATACATAGATAAAATGTTCTTCTTTTTATAGTAAAATGATACTGACAAACGATTTGTTTTCCAAAAAAAAACAAATGTTAAAAACTTCTTCATAATCAAAACTCAACATGGTTGCTTGTTTTGCTTTTATGTTTGCTGTCATCGTTGTTTCTTTCTTCAACTGTCTCCATCAAGAACGATACTGAAATTAATCTATATTCATATATAATTGCATATTGGTCGTCGTGTCTGCTTCTTTTTTCTTATCTTTTCATGTAATGGTTGGAAAATATGAAAAAATCATGCTTACTTAGACAGTGCATTTCGAATTTTGCACTTTCTCTGTCAACAAAATCGATACAAGTTTTTTTTCACGTCTGTTGCATCTCTAAAACAACTGACATTTTTATTTTAAACATTATTGCTGAGTTATTAGAGTTTTTTAGATTGAAAAACATATGGCTACACCAAAATTAAATAAGGAACTGTACAACAATATCACTCGACTAAAATTATTAAATGCAACTACTTCAGATCCTAAGTTTGTACTTGAGAAATCACCATTTAAGGAAGATAATGATGAGGAAGAAACAGCTGCTTCTGCAACTCCAAAAGATATCTTGATTATTGGACGAATTTTTCCAGAATCAGAAATATTTAAAGAAGGTGCATTTCAGATTGAAATGAAATTAACACCAAATTTTCCATTCGATCCACCAGAAGTACGTTTTCTTACTCAAATATATCATCCAAATGTTGCTGAAGATGGTAAGAAAAACTAAGAAAAAAGTTAAAGTTAATATTTATCAATTTTTTTTTGTAGGCAAATTTTGTCATGAGTTATTAGTAAAAGAAGCTAAATATTCAAGTAAAGTGGCTTTAGTTGATGCTGTTAAAGCTGTTATACAATATATCGACAAGCCTAATCTTGAGCATCCAATGCGTGCTAGTTCGTTTTTTTTTAACATTTGTTTTATTTATTTTCTTTCCTTTTTTAGATGTTGGTTGTGAATATGTGGAAAATCGATCTGAATTTAATCGTAAAGCATTGGAATGTGTCAGACAACATGCTTTGCCACGGAATTGAAGATCTTATAGACTTGTTTTTCCAACGAATTATACTATTTTTGATTTTTTTATCTGATGTATGGCAGTCTTTTTTAAAATAATTTTGAATATTATCATTTTAGATAGCAAAACACATTAAAATTTTCATTACTTAATTTTACAATATATCTTAATTTTAATCGAAAATTTAATTGAATATCATAAACATACTATCTTTCATACTCATAAATTGAGATTTCGTGATTTTATTTTAATTATATTATTTTAATAAAAAAAAGTGATGAATCATAAAGTTATAAATATGTTTTAGCTAGTCTATAGTATTTTCATTAAATAATAACAGTTAAGTGTTTGAATATATTTCTTTTGATATGATCTTTAAACAAGTTAGAAATCTGAAGAGAAGTCTTGTCTTAATCGTAATTGAATTATATCATAAATGTTTTATTACTAGAATTCAATACAACAAGTAGTATGAAGCTTCATTCATAAGTTAATATCGCTAATATAACGCTATAAATATGTAGTCAGTTGATTAAACTGGAAACGTTTATGACAAATTTCTATTATTAACTTGTTGATACGTTGTCAGACTACAGATGACTTACACTTTGTTATCAGATTGTGCTTTATTTATGAATTTGATTATTAATTTTCAAGCAACAGGTTCTATACAATAATTTAGGTATTGAAGGGTTCTAAATTTAGTTTGCAATTGAATGAGATACTTTCTGTTAAGGATAAGTTTTTATAAACATGTATTTTAGACTGATAATGTTTTATTTCTACTGCTCTTTATAATTTTTAGCAATATAGTTCTTGGTAAACGTTAATGACATATGCTAATTTAGTTCCTTTTTTAGTTTTTTACTATATCATGTAAAAATATTCTGGATTTATTCATTCAATACTTCAAGATTTCATACAGATGCCGTTGACGGCAAGTGCATCTGGTAATGTTGGGAAGAACGAATCGTTGTTTAATTCATGTGACAGCATATCATGAAATACATTTTACTTTCGCTGTTGATTCAAAATTAATAACAATATAATTTAAAATGAATTGGTATACTGTTATATTCTTAGTTGAAAAGTCAATGTTTAGATATTAAAGAACAGCAAATTTCGCTTAATTTGTCTTCTCTTCTAATTAATCAATCAAGGACAAATATGTACAATGGTGAAGTAATAAAAAAAAAGAAAAGAAACAAATCTATTATAAGATGATAATTATTGTTTTATGCAATTGTCTTCCTTAATAGAGATGGTGAGACTCGACTTTACTTTCTTTTTGCAAGTCATCTTGTTATTATGAGAACTGATTGACTTACACAAGCAGCTTTCAAATCCAAAGTCACTCAGTTAATAAATTTTAGAAGATTACTTTCAGATGTAAATTCATTTGAAATAGATGAATTATTTCTATCTAAATGTAATCATGGACAAAGATTTGATTCTTGAGAATGAACTATTAGTTGATCTATAATAAAACATTTCAATATTTGGATCAATATTTTTTTTCTACGAATAAGCATAGTAAATATTGTCTTTAATTACTCTTATTGAGCTCAAGAAGGAATTTTATTGTTATTGATTCGACTAGCATTGATTCGATCCATAAATATGATTTGGAACTCTTATCAATCGCTTTCACTATAAATCATATGTCTTTGAAGTGATTTAAAATAACACCTTGGAAAGTTTTTCTCTCATAGCACACAAGGTGTGTCTCAGAAAAATTCAATCATAGTGCATATAAATAAATGGACGTATGTATGCATTATTTTATGGCTGACAAATTATCTTCTATTTTATTTTCTTGCTTTTAACATGATGATATATATAATAAAAATCTACTTCGAATAATTCATCACTTTATGATATTTCTAGAATTTTCAAGTTTCTTCGTCCCTTTAAATAAACTATTAAATTTGTAGATCAACTAAATAAGTAAATATGTGTGTATTGAGATAAACAAAATCAAAAAATTTTTGAATTCAAATAAATTGATAATTGATAAAAGAGCTGTTAATTTATATATTATTGCTTAAAACGAAAAAAATCAATATTATATTGTTTATAATCAAAAAGTGCCAACATGGATTATATTAAATAGAAGTACTTATATTTTAAGGCTAAACTGAAAATTTCTATCGAATTTTCATTTAAATTATTTGAAGTTGAAATTCTTACTACTTATTCATCACTCAAATATTGGGTCTGAAGATAAATAGGAGGAAACAATTATTTTATGTAAACAAAAAAATAGATTTCAAAATTATATTTAGGTGAATTCGGATCTTTTTTTCCGCATAAGTTTTGTTTCATTTCTTTATGTAGGTTAAATATCAACTTATTCATGAAGAACAACATAGACTTAAGAATCAAAAAATATTTTGATTGAGATTATTAGTTAAGGTGGAAAGAGCAGAATTCTGCGGAATCTAAGAAAATTCTGAATTTCAAATCATATAGAATTCCACTCTTTTCCCCTTGTTATTTGCACCATGGTTGATTATATTGATGATATAAATATTGATAAAGCACTTTGGAATGGTTCAATGTTTTCAATAAAATATTTTCTTAATTGCGTTAGCTTCTATTTAAATATTGCTAATGAATATATATGAAAAAGAGAACGTCGAAAAAGTTCTGATTTCTGTTCTGCAAGAATCGATTTAAGATTGATTTATCGAAAACTTTTCTGAGTTGAAAATAGTTTTAGAAAATATATTAAATAATGATGAGAACTAAAGTGTTTAGAAATATGAGAACAGACAAATAATGATATGTTTATGTCTATTAACTTTCGATGTTGTATGATACTGACATCTTTGGTATACTTGCACTCATCTGGATTTTTGTGCAAAGCTAAGGAGTGGTTTTCTTCTGTAAAGATAATTCCATCTCAAGAGATGTAAGAGTAATGGAATGCTTATTGATACTGTTAAATATGAATTTATTATTTCGAATACAGAAACCTTTTTAAAAAAAGTATATGAATCATCACACTAAAGAAACATAATTTTTGTTGCTGATAATTTGAAAAAAAATTTAACTTCCTACAACGATCTCCTCAATGTAATCTTGTTTTATTATTTTACAACGAAAAAAATATAACTCGCACTCATGTATTGATTGTTTTTTGTTTTTGAATGCAATAAAACATTTCTAAGATGATTGCTCTCATAGGAATAAAACAACCTTTCAAATCATGTTTTTGAAAACTGCGCAATTTGTTTTTTTTCTGTTCTGCTTCTTCCTACTTTACGCAAGAAAAACAAACCATCCTTTATATATAAATATATATCATTAGCCTCTTTTATAAGGTCTTATTTGTGGGAAAAAAATCAGTATAATAGAAGATAAAATTGTTATATATTTGAAATGAGCAAAATTGACCAAAATCAACGCGTAAAACGAGCTTACTCTTTAACTGCTCAACTTAAAAATATTGGACCAACAAGTAACGCAAAAACTAAATTTATTCTTGAATCAACACCCTTCGATAACGAAGATGAATCACCATCATCAGGAGATTTGACTATTGTTGGTCGACTATTGCCGAATTCTGATATTTACAAACAAGGCTCTATTCGAATTCACATTATATTAGGACAAGAATTTCCATTTAAAGCACCAAAAGTATTTGTAAGACAACCAATATATCATCCTAATATTGAGAGAGATGGTAAATAATATTTCAGGTGTGAATATTATTTTATCTTGAAATTATTTGTTTGTTTTCTCTAGGTAAAGTATGTACTAATCTCTTGGTTAATTCAGAGGCTTGGACACCAACAACAACTTTAGTCCAGATTATTGAAGAAGTAACCAACATAATTGATAATCCTTGCACGGATCAAATTCAACATACTGGTCTGTATTATTTAGTTAATATTTCTTCCTATGTATGCATATCAATTCTTTTTTTTTTATAGAAGCGGCTAGTTTATATAATACTAATAAAACGGAATATAATCGTATTGCATCAGAAATGTTTAAACAACATGGTTTACCACGAAATTGAACAGATTATGCTATTTTTTTTTTTCCTCTAATTGTTATGAACAATATAAATAAGAGTATGCTAATTGATATATATTTACTGTTTTTTAATGTATGAGTGTATTTGAGAAGATCGTGAAAGAACAGTGATATAGGAAACTATGTATATAATAAATAATAACAAACATAATCAATAATAATAAAAACTGAAATTATCATAAACTGACAACAAAAGAAAAGTTTATCTAGAATAATAAATTATTTAAAAAAATATGTTCATATTTTAACTATTGAACACATCAAAATAAGCGCAAAATTGTATGTATTATTCATGTTAATAGTAAATAAATTGAATTATGAAAGAATTTTTCTTTTCATACTATTTAAATCTATATTCTCATTACCTATACGAAATATTGACAATCATATTCCTTTAAAATTTAAAGTAGAAACATCGACAAATAAATCTTTTGTATGTCCATGGTATTGTTATCCAGCTATTATATTTATTATTCTTATTTGTCTAATTATTCTTACTATATGTTTATCAGCATGTGATTATCATTCTTCAAAAAAACAACAAGAATCAAATGTTATTAAACAAAAAACAATTTCATTAGAAAATAAAGACGATGATGACAAAAAGACAGTAGATAGTATGTCACAAAAAGTATTGAAAAAATCTCAAGATGATGATGCTATTAGTTTAACTAGTACTAATTCGGAGAAAAACTAAAGTCAATTTTGAGTAAATTATCAAAAATATAAGATATACAATTAGAAAGGTATATCAGAATTTTCCTTCTTTCTTTACATAATAGAACTTCATTTTTGAAGTAAACCTTGAAACACTATCCACATTAACTAGATCATACTGTCACTGAAAATATTAACAAAGATAACATTTATGATATATTGTAGTGATACTGACGAGGGTAGTCTCGCAACTGATTAATCACTATTGAATCAAGACTATGTGAATTATGTAGAACCGAATGAACTATGAATACTCTGAAAACAGTTTAGAGCTGTAGCTTATTGTTGTGTAGATACTGCAAAGAAATACGAACCTTTTTTCAGTATATTCATAGGTCAGTTGGTTTTATATAATACACATAGTCTCGACTTAAAAGCAATTTATTAGTTGATAAATCTCTCTCGTGAGAACTATACATGAGCAAGCGTTTAGATTAAAATTCCAATATCTAATTTTTTTTGTGTAATGATATCTTTTATCTAATGACGAAAGTCTTATTCCAAATACTTTTCATCATTTGGAGCAGTGTCCCTGTAAGAGCTATTCAACTATTCTTATAATCTTCGATCTCAAATTCAAAGTTTCATTTCCATGAAGACAACACAACATGTATTTATTATTATTAAGTAGACAGAATATTCTAATGTATGCACGAATGATGACTTCTTCTGCATCGACATCAGAAAATGATATTCGAAAGTATTTTTATGAACAAGCACATCAACATACTTTTTTTTTGAGTATCAAATTTCGAGAGAAGATATTTATTACTCTATTACTGGAAAAACATTAGCTAGAAAGTTTCTAATTATTGTTGATTGAAATCTAACTCAATAAAATTTAACAACGTCCTAGACAATGAAAGCTTCTCCGTACCTCAAGTTTACAACAGATTTAAGTATCTTATCTGTGGCACTATATAGACATGAAAATCATTATTTGTTAATAAGAAAATGGAGTTTAACGTATTTAAATAGCGAAAAATCAGAAAAGTGCCAAAAAAAGCCTTTTTTTGAGCCTCAGAGGAAAAACCAGTGTTGTTTTTTTTTTGTAGAATCTTCGCATTAAGACCTATTGACTTCCAGTTGCTGCTTGCGACCAGAGTTCACCGAGCTCTATTTCTAGTCAAAATATCAGGCAAAAGGATTGAGATTTCTGCACTTTTTCCTCGATAACGGGACACATTGAGACCACTGTAAAATTAGTTGTTCGTTCTCATCTTTTTCGATTTGTTTTTGAATCTTTTAAAAACTCTATTTAATTTTACCTGATACATATGTAATAAATTAGAGTCCTGTATCGAAGTGAGACTTGATATAGATTGTAGAAACTGCGAAAACCCTATGTTATTCTTTTTTTATGCAACATTTATTTTTGATGATTGTAACGTCCATTAAATGAACACTGTTAATCCAATAGCCAAATCAAATCCACTAGGCACAAAAAAAAAAAAAAAAGAAAACTTTTATACTGGATTAACTTTCACAAGTGATTTTTGCGGTAAAAAAAAGATCAGCATCATTCAATATCTCGACTTTTGTTATTAAATGTGTTTTCTTCATCTTCATACGATCGTAAATTACATAATATTGCCAGTCGGAATTACTAAAAGAATTTCTTAAATAGATTCATAGGGATTAAAATAATTTATTTAAAAAAATGTCAAATAAATAAATCAAAATGATAACAATTTTTATAGTTGATGCTGGTGTTCTAAATTATTATCATTTCGAAAATGTTTGCATTTAGAATCATTATTCTATCAGTTTATTAGATTCATTTAACATCGTTATACAGAAGAAAACTTATTTCTATTGTTAGATAGATCTTTAATACATAACTTTTTTTCTTCTAATGATAATATATACAATACATGCCATAGGAAGCGACAAATTTAATTTTATTCTTCGTTTCGACAGTCCAACCATTGAATTAGTCTGCTTTACACATTGATTTAATCGTTCAGTAAGTTTTCGGGTACACCATTCTTTTTTTTTCCGACAAACTTTGACATATACTATTGAATTCCGCTTAAACTTAGAATTCAATTGGTTCATACTTTTCCATGTTCGTTCTATTCGAACTTTACTAGATCAATAATATCTCTGCTCTACTAATTGACATCTATAATAAGATCCTTTTGGTGCATTAAATAACAAAACCTGCAATATTTAGATGAGTTAGAATCTACAGTAAAAATCTTAGATTCATAGAATCCTTTGGAAGAGTCTAAAATAATCTAGGAACTGTTATTACTGATGCACATTTTCTCATTATTATGGAAACCTATCCACTAATCTTTGCCCCTTCCTCCTCTCAACTCTGGTCATTTGAGTCTAAGATAGAAACAGAAGCTGCAAAAATGTCAATTGAAACTTACACTTACTATTTTCTTCTACAATATGTGAGTTTTATAAAACAATAATAGAATTTTTTTTTCTATGATTTTTATTTTTTGTAACTGAAAACGAAGAATGAAATGATCAAATTCATTTCGTTTAACAACAAAGAAAACAATAAAAAAACAAACAAACGAATTTATTTTCTTGATTTAAGTCGTTTAATTGATTTTGTTTTTTTCTTTTCCATACGTTTTTTAGTTCGTCTTGACATTTTACCTTTTTTCTTTTTTGTTAAACCATTTATATTATCATCAAATAAAATATTAGCATCATGTATATGATTCGTTATATCATTATCATTATTCATCATTGATCGTTGTAATTGTAAACGTTCACGTTTTGTTTGTGGTAAACGTTTTAAATATTCTTCTTCATAAGAAATTTTTTCTTTATATGCACGATTTTGTTGTAATAAACGACTACGTTCACTATTATAAATTTCTTCTGGTGCATCGGAATATTTATTTTTATAATCTTCTAAAATATCTGAATGATAAGCACGTCGTTTAAGATATTCAAGACGTTTATTATTGATTGTTTTTTTTTCATTTTTATCATCAAAATCATCATTATATTCAACTGGTACAAGTTTTGGTGGTCGATAAATTTTTGTTTTTTGTTTTTTTTCTTCTTCTTCGTCGTCGTCGTCGTCCTCCTCATCGTCGTGTTGTTTATTTTCATTATCCATATTTATTTCTTCATTTTCATTAATAACTTCATCAAAATTTTCAATATTAGGGCGATAATTAAGTTGTTGATCAATATTATTTTTAAGTAATTTATCCATTTGATATTGTAATTTTTGTTCAATAGGACGAATTTTTTCAATAAATGTACGAATTTCACAAAGACGTAATATAATTGAACGTGTTGATGATGAATTTAATGATTGATTTGGTATTGAACGACGATACATAACAGCAACAAGATTAGTTAAATAATGAAAAAGTAAATCATTTTTTATTGATAATAATGATATACCACCATTATCATTTATATGTGAATTAATTTGTTCATTTAATGATGAAGATTTTTCAAATAGAAGAATATTTTTAAGAAATTCACGTAATTGTTCATTAAGTTCTTTATATTTAGTTAATGTTCGTAATCGAATATTTTCTTGATCAGTCATTATTAATCTTAGAGAAAAAAATTCATCGAATATTTAACATTTATTTATGTATATAATGTGATCTAGACGGCGCCACATTGAATAAATAAAATAAAACGAATGTAGCGACTTTATTTAGGTATGGTTTTTGTGTTTATTATTGGTTGATAATGATTATTCTCCATTGGATTTTTTTTTTGCAAAATAATCATCATTAGTCATAGACAGAAGAAAAAAATAAATAGACTAATTTCTTTTTTCTCTTTATTGATGTGTAGTCGTTGTATTTATTATTCACATGTCCATCGACTTAGTTGCTTTCTATTTCTGACTTACCTGGTAATTACTTAGAATACTTCATGTAGACAAAAGTTATATCTAGATTGAATTAGTCAATCTAAATTTTATATTGTTAATTTTCTTTTTTGTGAAAACAAATCTTTCAAATAGTTATGCAATTATTTTCAAAAACAATTCTTTATTGAAGATACTCTTTTTCTAAACACGACCATAAATGTAACAACGTACTTATAGAGTTAGTAATAATAAAATATAGTTTACCATTTAAAAAATGATGGACAGTTGGTAAGAAATTCTTCATTTGTTTCAGATTATTTATATAATTCATTTTTAAAACGAACAAAAAAACAAATGTCAGCATCAAATAATGCAAATAGACGTTTAATAACTGAAATAACAAAACTTAAAGCATTATCAACAAGTAATGATTCATCATCCGTTAAATTTATTCTTGATAAATCACCAATAGATGATCCATCTGGAGGATCTCGAGCAGGTGCTAATAATTCAGCACAAAATATTATTCTCGGACGAATTTTACCAACATCAAATATTTATAATCAAGCTGCTTATCAAATTGAAATCAAATTACCAGCTGAATTTCCATTTAAACCACCTGAAATTCGTTTTATTACAAGTATTTATCATCCAAATGTTGATGAACAAGGTAAAATATGTGTTGATTTGCTTAATTCGAATGAAACATGGAAGCCCACAACACCATTAGTTGATGTTGTTAAAGCTGTTGTTGAACTTATTGATAATCCTAAAATTGATCATGCACTTAATGCTGGTATGTTTTTTTTTTGTTTTCTTATATGTATATATATTTATTATTATTATTATTATTATTATAGAAATTGCTAGTGAATATACAACAAATAAAGCTGAATTCGATCGAAAAGCTTTAGCTTTGGTCAAAAAAAATGGTTTACCACGAAGTTAAATAATACAAACATATCGTTTTTATTATTCAGCATTATTATTATGATTATTTTTTCTTCATAGACCTCTTAAACAAACATATAGTTATCTTTCTTTTTATTTGTCTTTATGTGTTAATAAAAAAACAAAAAAATCTGTTTGTGAGTCACTCTATTTCTTTTTATGTTATGGGAACACGTAAGCCAGAAATCAGTTTTATATTATGTTTTTTTTGTTATTCG